CAGCATAGGAGTGGCAGGTGCAAAGGCCCTGAGATACAGACATGCCTGACACATTTGAGGACCAGCAATGAGCTCATCATGGTTGCAGCTGAGTAAACAAATTGACTGACAGGCGATGAGGTGAAAGAGATAATCAGCGTTAGGTCAGGTAGGTCCTGTAGGGAGGAGATTTTCTATAAATGAAAGAGGAGACCCGGAAGCTCTGAGCAATAGATCCCCCTTGCCACTGTGTGGAAATCCCCAGAAGTAGGCAGGGAAGATACAGGAAGACCAGGAGAGCAGGACTTTCCTACTCTTCAGGTCAAACCTCACTTGGGCTCTGTCCCAGCTTTCTTCAGGGGCCCCCTTCTTCCATTCTCCTCCTTACCTCCCCCCCTCATCTACCTCATCTACCTCTTGGAGTGCTTCCAAATGCCTGCCCACACTTTTCCTTCCAAAAAGGGAACCATCCTAGCAGGACATGGTAGTTCACAACTGTCATCCCAACTACGTGGGAGGCTGAGGCAGGAGGATCGATGGAGTCCAGGAATTTGAGGTCAGCCTAGGTGGCACAGCAAGATCCAAGGGTCATCTGAAGCCCCTCCTGCTCCAGGTAACCTTTCCTGATTCCTCAGTGAGTCCTCCACACCGTGTTTCTATCCTTTTTATGACCCTTAAAATATTTCCACCTGTATCGTCCTGTCGCCCTCGGTGGACTTCAAGCTCTCTGAAGACAAACATGGCTCCCTCATTTCATAATGGCCATGGCATGGAGAATGGAACCCTCCAGAAGAATGACTACACTCTTGAGTTTAGTGATGCTGACGTTATCCTGTCATGGACAAAAAATCTGTAACTTTCCATGATTTCTTTAATTTCAGTTCATGGCCTCAAGCTATCTTATCTAGTTAGGCTGTAAATATATCGCACTCTAACACCGACAAAACTCTAGCAGAAAAGCACAATCTGTTATATTTTGTGCCAAATTAATAACACTAAGCAATTAAGCTTAAAAGATTTTTTTAAAAAAAGACAAAAAAGGAAAATTTTTCTTATGGTTCACTGTCACCAGAAGATGTCTATATAGAAAGATGCCCAGTTAAATTTGGAAGGCTTTAAAACACTGGACCTCAAACCACAGGAACACTGATCCGCTTAAATATTTTAAGTGTTTATTTTTATTGGTAGAATTTCGATAGAATCAATGTTAAGCTCTTTCTGGAAAGGTAATGCAGACACACTGAGAATTCGACTTCACCCTTTGTGGTGTATACACAGCCTTACTCCTGCATAATTTATAGTAAGAATCTGCAAACACTGAGTCAGATTTTCCCATCATCTGTCATGAAAATGTGGAAGCAGGAAGTGGAAAGTACAGGGTGTTTTCTTCCAGCATCTCAACAAAAGAACTTCCAAAAAGGGAACCATCCTAGCAGGCCACGGTGGTTCACGACTGTCATCCCAACTACTTGGGAGGCTGAAGCAGGAGGATCGATGGAGTCCAGGAATTGGAGGTCAGCCTGGGTGGCCCAGCAAGATCCCAAAATAGAACAAGCAAAAAGACAAAGGCATCTTTCTGTATAGCCCAAATAATTTTCTTCTTACAGAAGTGTATGTCACTAACCCAGCTAGCATTCCACATCCTCTTTAAAATAGTTTGAATTGATGTCCAAATTTCACACACACAAAAAAAAACATGAAGACCAAAAGAAGCTCTGTTCCAGAAAACAGAAGGAAAAAGAGGATCTGAAACTCAAACTCAGATTGAACTCAAAATGAAACTTAGCAATCATTCTTTAATGTAAGATCTCAGCCATGTAATACAAATTATATCAATAGTGGAATAATCCCCAAGGATTTAATTTGTCCTTTTGAAAGTCAGATTCAATATTAGACTGCTACTTGGGGATGATATGCATTCCATACTCTAAAAGAAATCAATGTGTACAAGATAAATATGAATTAATTTTAAATAATGTAAATTGAATATTCCAAAATCGTCAGTATGTTTGAAGCATTGTTAGCAAAAGATTTTCGGCATAACCTCATTAAAGCAGTATTTCTTTCTAATGAGATAAAATGACGATTGAAGTTCCAGTCTAGATCTGATTAGAGAATCCAGCACAGACGGAAGTAATAAAATAGATCAGCTCTGAGTCCCAACCAGGAATTTTAGCCACAGAAGGGGGATCTATTGTCATAATCCAGGGACAGGGTGAAAAGGAGAATTTACCAGAAATACTAACTAGAAACTGATTTTACAAACCAGTAAGCCATTACCGTTCAAAGACTTCTCTTATTCTCTCCTGTATCAGAAAATATCCTGAACCATCAAATTCAGTGTAGAAAGGACTAGAACAAGAATCATTAGCAGGACAAGAAGCTGCCCCCCCCCAAAAAGAAGAGCACCATACAGATTAAATTTCCAAAAAATCACTTCTGAATTCTGTAAGGTCTTTTCACCATTGATAACCTTGCGTATCTAAATATGGGTCCGGCAGAAATATGCTCCCAGACAAGGATTCAAGGCCAAGTGATTGGTTGGGGAGGTTCAGGGAGCGCCAGGCAGGGAATGTGGTGGCCATAAGTGCTTGAGAAGTGAGCAGCCTTGGAGGATATAAAAAACACCTCAAAATCGCCTCATCCAAGAGCTGGGTGTTTACTGCCATGTGTTTAAGACTTCCTTGTCTAAAGTGCATCCTCCAAAAGAGTTTCCACCCCATTGACGCTTCTGGTATCTGACATCAAATACCTTTTTTCCACAGTCCATTCATATATTTCACATTCGAGTCATCTACTCCTAAACTACAAAGCATACCATTTTATCTTACCTATGCCTTTATGTCTCCCTTGAGTTCTACTTTATATTCTCAATAAATTAAGATTCTAGAGACATTTGTCATGTTTTAAATTCTTTAACATCAACTTTGTATCAATTAAGTTGTTTAAATTAAAAAAAATGCCTGTGAGAGTAGCCATAATGGTCCATGATACATCCATGAAAAATCAGGAGCTGGTCTACGCGGAAAGAGCTCAGACCCTACTAGCATCCAGAGAATGCTTTATGTGATTAGAGTATAAGAGGTCATTTTGGCAGTTCCAAAAGTACCGTCACAGAATGGGGAGGGAGAAGGTCAAATTAAAAATTAACCAGCAAGAAGCTTTTTCAATGAAATGTCACTTGACTTATTTTCAGCAAATAAACAGTCTTTAAAAATGGTCCAATCTAACCATCTTTCCTCTTGGCCTGCATGGACAGGTCTATAATAAATTAGTAGCTTTGTTCTATGCCTGAAAGTTTCCTCTTCAGCCTTACTGAATACATAGTAAAAAGGAAATGATAGAAGCCTAGGTAAATTTTATCAATCTTACTAACATACA